CAACCCGAGCAGAGGCACGCAGGCCTCTATTTATACCTTCTGATCCCCGGGCAATTCCAACCAATCACAAGGCGGTCTTTTCCCGCCTTGCGCATGTGCGCAAGGCCGGCGCCACTCAGTCTGGTCCCGGGCAGCTTTTGCAAATGCCCGGGACTCTTGCAACGTCCCGAGCCTGCTTTTGCAGGCTCAGGACACAACAGAAATGGTGTGTCAAAGCCCAATAGTACAGGAAATATTTAGGATTTGAACAGTCTCTAAAATCTCTGAGTGACAACATTGTAGTAAGAGGACTGAAAAAGATCTTAACTCTGTTCTCTGTGTTGAAAGGCTGAGACATACATTACTGTAATCAGATCACCAGGAAATCTAGCTTGGGGAAAAGGTAGGCATATTTGTATTTTAAGAAACACCCTCCTCCCTGTCAGTCTCCCAAAATGACTGCCAAGGTGGGCCTGAGTAGTTAGAACAAACCAAAGTACCAGAAAGCAAATTCGCGACATGATTCTCCATAACTCTATAAAGTTTTTCACCTCTAGGATGCTTTGTGCTATCTCAGCTGATTTTGCCTTTCTATTAGACCAGGGGTCCCCACCCTCCGGTCTGTGGAACAGTACCGGGCCGCGGCATGCCAGCAACCGGTCCGCACAAACAAGCAAAGGCCCATCCACGGGATGCAGGCAGCACACAAAACCACGCACTCTCCAGTCTGCGGAAAAGCCTCTCTCCACGGAACCGGTCCCCGGTGCCCAAAAGGTTGGGGACCTCTGTATTAGACAGGTGGGCATCCTTCCAGATCGTGCACTGGGCTGTACTCGCTCCCTTCTTTATTGTCTCAAAAATGCCCCTTTGCTCTATGCAATTCCCAGAGCATTCCTGGCAAAAAAAGGATGCTAGAGGTTTCCACTTTGCTTTGCAACCTGCTAGCTCCCCATTTGCTATTTTTAAGTAAAAAAAATTATATAAAATCAGGTAAGGCATAGGATATAGTAGCACCAAGGGAAGTATCAGTGCCACATTTAGACCTGATGTTTGGAGCACTTTTTGGTTTTGACTTAATGTGATTACAGGTAGTCCTTGACTTACAACCACAATTGAGTCCAACATTTCTGTTACTTGACTGTGGGGATGCTGCAATGGTCGTAAGTGTGAAAAATGGTCATAAGTCACTTTTATCAGTCCTGTTGTAACTTTGAATGGTCATTAAATGAACAGTTGTAAGTCGAGGACCACCTGTATATTATAAATTCAACCACCTAAATTTGTAAACCAGTGGTTATAGCTTAGCATTATGTATAACTAGATTACAGCAGGTTTTTTTCAACAAACTATTCATGTAACAAATGAGAGAGTTTGCACAAAGTGTAAATCTGCTCATGGATAACTTAAGGCCTTGTGACAGTATGGATTAATATCTAAAGGGCAGGACTCCGATTCCTTCAGATCCTTTTCCGAGTTCAGTGCACTATATGTTCAGTGCAGAAGAAAATGAAAGCACGAACATACAATGACAGCAAAAGCTATTTCAAAAAAGAAAGACATTTGCCGGCACTCATTAAGCCTGGACAGGTGGTTACGGGAACCTGGAATGATCTCAACTGACCTTCTGGGATGGCAGCCACAGCAAGGGCGACGGCAATCTTGAAGTAGTAGATGGCGCCACGGATCCAGGAGCCGCCGTGTATGGGGTCGTTGAAATGCCCGATGTTGATGAGCCAGACAGCCACGCAGATGAGGGAGATGACTTTGGACAGCTGCTCACCAAACTCGTCCAGTTTCTGCTGCAATGGCGTCTTCTCTTGCTCTGTGGCTGCCATTTCATCGCGGATCTTACCGATTTCAGTGCTCACGCCTGTGGCGATGACGATACCAACAGCCTTGCCGGCACCAATGTTGGTACCCTGGATTGGGTTTGAAGGCGAATAGGAACAAGACGGATTAAAATCAACAAAGGAAAGTGGCACTCAATAAATAATAATGGATGGGGGAAACTACAGTTATTTTAGATAAAGAAGGCTATAAGCATGGCTATGTACAATCTTGCATAAGCACATTGTTTCATTTCTTAAAAATCCAAGATCTCCAGGCCTCGTGGCAGTAAAGGACATGCCTCTGCTACATCTATAGCATGTTCATTATCTATCTGCAAAAAAATGGTTGGAACTATTGTTTAGGAAATTGCTGAAATGTCTGCTAGGGATCACCGCAACCACAAAACTCCCATCCTATCACCCATGCCAACAAACATACTGCTAAATTCTTAATGTAGAAGCAAAAATAAGCAAATAACAGCACATTTCCTTAACTTGCAGAATTAGCTCTTGCAAAGGTGAACAGAAAAAGAGAAAGGATGACTAGCAGACTCAGTTACAGCAGAGATTACTGAATCATTGGAGGACCTGAAGGACCAGCTTGGGGACACATCATCCTGGATAAAATCTTTCTGTGTGGTCATTAAGAGTCAACGCTGAGTTGATGGCATATCATCAATAATTTGATTACCTTACACTTGCCAGGTCTCCCTAGTTGTATCTGACTTGTAATCGCATTCACATTTTTGGCTATATCACTTTCTGACAGTCATTAATAGGAAGCATAAAATTATGGAATTTACAAGCTTGTCTTTTTTACCTGATCTCCCCAGTCACCTATAGGTGAAAGAAAAGTGCAATGTAATATCAGCCAATTTACATTGTTGCTTGAGAGAGCAAATAAAATGATGTCACCTGATTATCCCAAAAGTGCTTTTTAGAATAGAATAGAATAGAATAGAATAGAATAGAATAGAATAGAATAGAATAGAATAGAATAGAATCTTTTGTCACTTTAAATGTACACTAATCAGCATACATTGAAATGAAATTTTGTTGCATTCAGCTCTCAAAAAAAATACCATTTTGCATATACCCACACACCCATACATATATGACACAGAGAAACATCACAGTCTAGTTAGAATGTATTCATATACATGGCGAAAAAAAAGAATCCTGCAAATTTACAAGACCGATGGCATAAGGAACAAAGCTGTTACAGAATCTAGTAGTTCTGCTATAAATATTTTGAAACCTCCTCCCAGAGGGGAGCAACAGAAACAGACTGTGAAGTGAGTGTGTGGGGTCTCTAATAATGCTCCGTGCTCTAAGCACATAGAGCTTATAAGCAGTATCCTGAATAACAGGATGTAGGCTTCCTATAATCTTCTCAGCTGTCCTTATCACTCTCTGTATAGACCTTCTATCTGAGACACTGCTACCACCAAACCAAACAGTGATGCAGTTTGTTAAAACACTCGCAATCGTGCTTCTGTAAAAAGTGGCCAGGACAGGAGAAAGTTGTGCTCTGAGCTGAAGAAGCTTCTTGGATGAGAAGCCAACTATCTTTAGAGAAAAAATAAAGTCCAACTGCCTTTTGAAAAAGCACTTTTGGGACAACCGTGACCTGGATGACTGAGAAATTCCATAGACATGTCACCTGATTCTTTATCCCACTGCATTACCAAATAAAGACAATTGGAATATGGTATTTAGTGTCCCATCAGTGTCCCTGCCATGTACTATTTGAATCAGAGACAAAAAGATGCATCAGCAGGCTTTACATCTTCAGCCCTGTCAGTAATACTCACAGAAAACAGCATGTTCTTCTTGTCCTGATTTACAGCCCGGGGATCTGGGACAGGATCAGTATGTTTGATCACAGAGACAGATTCACCTGGGTGGGTAAATAAAGGGTCAGACCACTTGCTTCATACAAAACAGAGTCATGGGTACTTTATGTTATGTGGACTTTAATCCAGAATTCCTCAGCCAGCAAGCTGGCTAGTGAATTCTGGAAGTTGAAGTCTACATATCTTTAATTAGCTAAGGTTGAAAAATACTGGCATAAATCATACCCAAATCTACCTATCACCAATGATTTTCCAAGGCACGTTTTCCCAACCACAGATTTTTCCATAGACACTATGATCTCTAGATAGTCCTATCCTTCCTCTTTACAAAGTGGTTTAAAATAGAGGTTCTTTTCCAGTTCTTCTCAGATTGGCTGAGATTTAAAAACATAGCCTCTGTTGTTATTCCCTCTTTCTCCCTTTTTTTTTTACTTTTTCCCCCCCATTCTCTTATGGGCAGAATATATTTATTGCTAACATTAGGTATGAGTTCTTACCTGTCAGAATGGACTGGTCCACACGCAGAGTGGTGGATTTGATGGAAATTATGCGAATATCAGCTGGGACTTTGTCACCAACTGGGGAACAAAAAAAAGAAAAACCTCCAGTTTTAGCCATAGAACAGTCACTATTGTTTGATGTAAAAATAAATAAATAAATAAACAAACCCCTACTATTGACTAGTTTAAGCATCTTTGTTGAAAGAGAAATCATGGTATTAATACCAAGTTCTGAAGCTAGGATATATATCACCATCTTATTATTATGAAAAAAAACTGCTAGAAGCACACGTGAGAGTTAGTTCTCATACAGTCAGTGAAAAACAAGACAACAGCAAAATTGAGCAGTGCAGAAATAAAGAACAAATTTATATAGGCTAATCTTTGCAATGGAAAGAGACAGTCTACAGGGAGTCCTTGACTTACAACCGTTTCTTTACTGACCGTTTGAAGTTACAACACTGAAAAAAGTGACTTATGACCATTTTCCACACTGTCACAGCATCCCCATGTCACATGATCAAAAGTCAGATGCTTGGCAACTGACTCATATTTATGACAATTACAGTGTCCCAGGGTCATGTGATCCCCTTTTGTGACCTCCTGATAAGCAAAATATGGGGGAGTCAGATTCACTTAGCAACTGTGTGACTAACTTAACAACTGCAGTGATTCACTTAACAAATGTGGCAAGAAAGGTTGTAAAATGGGGGAAAACTCACTTAACAAATGTCTCGCTTAGCCACAGAAAATTTGGGCTCAGTTGTGGATGTAAGTTGAGGACTACCTGAATTATGTAGAACAGGAAAAGAAAAAAAAATACAAGATGATTTCAACTTTGTTTTTATTGGGTTTCATTTTGAATAATGCCAAATCTTGAAAATGCTTTTGATGATTGATTCTTGAGATGATATAGGACCTCCTGCTTGAGCAAGGGGCTGGATTAGAAGACCTCCAAGGTCCCTTCCAGCTCTATTCTATTCTATTCTATTCTATTCTATTCTATTCTATTCTATTCTATTCTATTCTATTCTACTTCAAGCTATTATAATGGTATAAACATATACCATACAAAGATAGCTTCTATATATCCTTCCCTATAACCACTGAATACTAGAATAGCTCCCATGGCTAGTGCACTGAATATAAAGTATGAGGGTCCAGGAGTTCAATTCCTGATAGAGGATTTGAACCCCAAAGAATAACATTTGGATAGCTACCTCTGATGGGTTCCATATAGGATGAAACTGGTCATATGATGGTGCCTGGTGGACTCTGTAACTATTTTAATTCAATAAACATTATTTATTATAACTTCTGTGATTTCGTTTGAGTGCTTCCAGTACTCATGACTGAGTGAATCTTGACACCATGAGAAATGTGAAAGACACCTATGAAACCAGAGCTACAAAGAAAAGATTGCTCTTTTTCTGTCTCTACATAAATCTGGATCACTATTCTGGCTTTTGTTCTTACGTAGGGGATACAGGCAATCTTCCACTTACAACCATTTAGTTAGTGACTGTTCAAAGTTACAATGGCATTGAAAAAAGTGCCTTATGACTGTTTTTCACACTTATGACTGTTGCAGGATCCCCATGGTCACATGATCAAAATTTGGGCACGTGGCGACTGGCTTTTATTTATGATGGTTGCAGGGTCCCAAGGTCATGTGATCACCTTTTGTGACCTCCTGACAAGCAAAGTCAACAGAGAAGCCAGAGATACTTAATAACCGTGTTGCCAACTTAGCAACTATAGTGATTCACTTAGCAACTGCGGTAAGAAAAGTCGTAAAATGGGGCAAAATTGATGTTGATTGCTTATTTAGTATCCTATGAATATCACTAAATATTGTATACTATGATTTCTGATGAATGTATCTTATGATGATTATGATCATGATTTATCATCATCATCATGATTTATCACTTGTAGCTTATATGTACACTGAGAGCTTATGCACAAGAGACAAATTCCTTTTGTGTCCAGTCACACTTGGCCAATAAAGAATTCTATTCTATTCTATTCTATTCTATTCTATTCTATTCTATTCTATTCTATTCTATTCTATTCTAAACAGTTGTCCTGCTTAACAACAGAAATTCTGGGCTCAATTGTAGTTGTAAATCAAAGACTAATAATAATAATAATAATAATAATAATAATAATAATAATAACAACAACAACAACAACAACAACTTTATTGTCACTTTTAATGTACACCAATCGGCATACATCAAAATGAAATTTCATTGCATACAGCTCTCAAAGGACCACCACCTCCAATATACACTCCCTGTTCGTGGCCAGCTCAAGTTTCAGTACGTCCATTTTAGTCTCTAAGGAGCGAACGATGGCAAATAGGACAGATGGAAATGGAGCTCCATGTGGATTAGCCCTCAAATTAGCATGTATTCCTGCATGACAACCTCACCTCCTTTCCTTTATCTCAGCGGTCTTCAAACTTGGCCCTTGTGTGACTTGTGGACTTCAACTCCCAGAATTCCTCAGCCAGGCACACTGGTTGAGGAATTCTGGGAGTTGAAGTCCACAAGTCATAAAAGGGCCAAGTTTGAAGACCCCTGCTTTATCTGATCCTGTCTCTTCCACCTTTTCCTTAAAGGGCCCTGGCTCCTTTTCACCCCTGGAGCACGCTTCCACCACCTCCAACTCCTCCAAAAGCCTCTCTCCCTTCCTCTGGGCCTGCCTTCGTTCCATAAGCCCCGGGACCTCTCCTCCTCTGCCTCCTTTGGAAACAGCCCTGATTTGCAAAAGAATCCGTCGCTGGGCCAGCAGTCAGATCTTGCTGCCAGCAGAACAGTTTCAAACAGCACAAATGACTTTTAACAGTCTCACCAACAGTTCCGAAACAGCTAAAAACTCACCATACCAGCAAAGATTGTCGGTTGTATGTTAGCTTAGTCCCACTAAGTTGCTCAAACACATTAAAACCTTCCCGATTATGTGGCCTATATCCCTTACATCCCTCCAAAAACTTATACTCATACAAAAGCTTATACTTCTGCCCTATGAGCAGACCAAGCTTAGTATTACTTTGTACTTTCCAAACTAATAAAGATATAGGAAAGAGAATAATGCATGTTTTAGAATAAAATACATCCACATTGTGAGTTTTGTGGGGAAAATATAGTACAACATTTAGCAAATTTTAGTGCAGCTTTTGAAGCAGAGTCAGATTAAGACACAGTGGCTAAAGTTGCACAGACAGTTGCTAGACTAGCCCTTCTTAAAAAGATTCAGCTGCATTTGCATTGGGTAAAAATTGTCCTGATGGCAACATGAAACTGAATTATGTGCCTTGGGAAATACCTGCAGCAGCTCTGCCCAAGTACGTGCTCTAAGCATGTTGAAGGCAATGCTCAGAACTGAATATGAATAGTAAGAATAACACTGTACTCCATCCAATGCCTGAAATTCTGGGCAAACAAATAACTCTTATTTGTACGTGACTAAGTAAACCACAGTTTTCTGAATTAATCCAATTTTCTGGGCTAGCATAACTTAACCGGGTTAAACAAAAATGATAGCATATAGACACAATATACTAAGCTTGGGTAAATTTTAATCTTAAATTGTTTCTTCACATTTAGCATGCTGTGAAAAACCCAATCCATTTAGTTAATTTATAGATTAGTATACTATGCAAACTCAGAAAATAGGTTAATTCCCTAACCAAATTTTGTAGATAGTATATGTCCAACCACTGGGTCACAAAGTTACCCTACTGAGTTTGCACAACAAATTGATTTCAGCCTATTTATGTGTTATGTGAACCCTGCCACAACCAAAACCATCACCTGGACTCATAGATGTCCAGTAGATGCTGCAGTGAGGTGACTCACTTCATGATGTCATTGTACAAATGCCATAATTTGTGTCAGTCATATTATCGTGCAAATGGCCTATATAGCTTCTAAAGTGAAGCATGTGATGTCACTTGCTCAACCTACAAGTGACTGCACTAGGAGCTAAGCTAAGGAAGTTGCACAAGGTTCCACACACACACACTATGAACCAAGGTGTGGGCAGCCCTTCCTGTAGGCCAGTGGTTCTCAACCTTTTTAATGCCGCGACCCCAACCGGTCGTAAGTCGAGGACTAAACCAGTCGTAAGTCGAGGACTAAACCGGCCGTAAGTCGAGGACTAAACCGGCCGTAAGTCGAGGACTACCCAACCGGTCGTAAGTCGAGGACTTTCCCTGCCCGGGAGCGCCGCACATGCATGGTTCCGCCCCCTGCGCCGGCCGAGGCGTAGCTGGCAAGCGGCAGAGACGGAGCAGGCCGACCATCAGCTGGCCCAGCCCAAGGGAGGTAAGGCACCCGCCGAAAAAGGGGAAAAAAATGGCGGACAAAAAAAATGGTGGACAAAAAAAATGGCGGACAGCCTTGCTTGGCGACCCCCGTGAAATGGTCGATCGACCCCAAATGGGGTCCCGACACACAGGTTGAGAACCACTGCTGTAGGCAAAACAAAGAGCTTGTCTCAGGGCGCGATGGATTCAGTTCCTTTCTGACAAAGAAGAAGGTTTATTCCAGGCTACATGTCGGCCTTAGCTAGACAACTGTCCTCAGATGAAATTCAATTTCCAATCCAGATGGTTTCTAAGGCATGCAAGTTAGCCCGAGCCTGCAAAGATGAAGTGAGGAAAGCCAAGGCTCAAAATGAACTAAGGCTTGCGACCAAAGTCAAAAATAACAAAAAAAGCTTCTTTCAACATGTAAAAAACAAGAAAAAAGTGAAGGAAATGATTGGTCCGTTAATGGGTGAAAGTGGCAAGAAGGTGACAAGCAACAGGGAGAAAGCGGAACTATTTAA